TATTTTTAATGAGAATAACTTTGACCTTCTTGATCCTCCATACAGTAATTTTGTTTCTTTCCTGTTTTTGTATTTTTTTGTGTATTTTCCATGTTCATTTTGATTTAATTTCACATAATTTTAGCTTTTCCAATTTCAGTTTATTGAGGTGCATACTTGGTTTTTTTCCTTTTTTTGGTAAAATGTATAACTGAGACAATCAATGTTTCACCAGACAGACTTTTGTTATAATAATTTCCATGAATTCATATAAAAATTGTGATTGTTCATTGTGATCACTTCTTAGGTCCATGTGTTATTAATAAATTCATTACTGAATTTAAAACCATATAAGACTTTTTAAATTTTGCATTATTAATTTTTATTTTTGGTAAACTCTTCTTAGAGAACTTTCTGTGAAGCTATAAATGTACTACACCACTTTTTAAATGTAACTAGTGTGACAGAGTAACCTATCTAAATTTTTGTTTATTTTTAATTAAATTTTACATTTGAATACCCACACTTCATGTGCCCACTTGCCAAGCTCGATGCGCGGTTACCACAGTGACACCACAGTTCCGTGTCTTACAAATATGACTATTTCATGCTTCTGCCATGTGGGTGTTATAGTTCATTGTCCATCTAAAACTTTCTCTAGCATTTCTGATAGACCTGTTTCTTTGATAAACTGTGAGAGAAAATAATTTCCATTTCCACTTAAGCTTATTTATTTCACTTTTTACTCATGTTGAGTTATATTATTAGGTCCCCAGAGACTAAAAACAACAGCATTGCTAATGCTTTGGCCACTCAGTTTGTTCTTATGAAACATGCTTCATCATTTCCAATAATGATTCTTTCCTTATGTTTTGACAGGACATTCACTATAGCAGTTTCCTACTGGTTCGTGTTGTGCGGGTAATTTTTCATCTTTATATTCCCATGTGTCTTTCTGTTTAAGGAAGTGTCTCCTTAAGACAGCAGTTATTTTAAATATAAACAATCTTTATTTTATAATAAAATAAATAATTTTGAGTTCTTTATTTTAATAGACAATCATGTTTCTATAACTGCTTTTTTTATAAAGTAAACTTTGCTACTTGATTTTACTATGATCATGGAAACTATAGATATTATTGTTCATACTGCACACTGAAATTGGATCGTGAGATGGATGTTGCCAGTCTGCTCCTGTACACTCTTTCAGAACTTCTCCCCTCTCCTCACTTAACGACTATTCTGATATTTTATATTACTACATATTTTTGCTTAATTTTGAATTTTATATAATGGGAATCATTCATTATGCATTTTATGTGCATCCAGTCACTCCCACATGATATTTTTTCAATTAACCCATATAATTGCATTTACCAGAAGTTTGTTAATGTTCACTTCTATATTGTAGGTACCTGGCATGTTCAACTGCTGAACCTAAAACCTAAAAAAAACCCAAAAAGTAAAACAAACTAAGCAAGCAACCAGAACAGGAACAGAATCACAGAAATGGAGATCAGAGGGGAGGAGGTGGGAGAAGAATGGTGGAAAAAGTACAGGGAATAAGAAGCATAAATAGTAGGTACAAAATAGACAGGGGAAGTGTAACGAGGCACATCTAGGACTCCCCCCAAAGGGTGTTTGTAATGGGGTCCAGAGATTGGGGTGTCCAAGAAAAATATATTCTCCCCACCCCAGGGCGGGGCGCCCTGGGGGATGGGAGTCTTGAGCAGGGCCATTGAGAGTCATTTTGCATGTCAATAACAGGGTAGATTCATTCCTCAGATGCAAAGAGGTTTTGCATATCACCAAGGCTAATCAGGAAAGTTTAAAAGACTTAATACTGAATGTAACTGGGAGAGAAAGAGGAGAGACAGGGACCTGCAGGAGAGAAAAAGAGACACAGACTCTGGGGAACAGTGAAGACCACGCGGGAAGAAAAAGGGGAGAAAGCACTCTTGCTAGTGGGCCAGGAGAAGGTGCCACATGGTTATGGATTAAGAGCTGGAGATCGCGGCGACGCAGTGGATGGTGCTGAGACCCGGGAGAGGCCTGCCTAGCCGAGCCCGGGACTTCTGTTCTTTTTCTTCTGAAGGACGGTACCCCTGACTGGCCAGACTGGCCTGACTGGCCTAACTGGGCAAAGGCGGAAGACAGGGCTGTGTGTGTGCTGGTGATTGTTTTAAAGGGATTTTGAGGTTTAAGGGTGACATTTAGCCATTAATCAAATCTGTATAACTTTTGAATAAATAGTTCCTTTCCTTTTCACCAAACTCTGCCATTCAGAGCCATAATTCCAAGGGTGGCGGGCAAAGGACCCACAACCTAGGGGTCCTGGGGAAGTAGGGTGTCATTGTTTTGGTAATAGCATCTGGGCACCACCCCTCCATGGGTACATTTGTTTGGTAACAGAAGGTTAAGAATAATATAGGAAATGGAGAAGCCAACGAAGAAGTATATATATATATTTGTAGCATTCATTCATATTTGCATACACATTTGTAACTACTCAAAGTCTGTGCAAACACACAGTTTGATTTTATAGTATTTTGTTATGCTGTATACCAGTAATGCACATTTGCATTTGATAAAGAGCTGTCCTTCCATATATACTTGGTTTCTAAAATAAACTCTGGTATTTAATTTTACCTTATATCAAGGAATAACTGAGCAGGTTGGTGACGCAGGAGATCGAACCATGTGATGACAGATCATGTCACAGGATGGAGCTGGCGGTCCCCCGAGCCCTGCTCCTGTGTCTTCATTCTCTCACCCCTTCTCCTCCCTCGCCACTTACCCACTGGGCTGACTTTTAGTATTGCACAGTCTTTTTGCTTGTTCTGGAACTAACAGAAATGATACAGGATACATTTTTCTTCCTGTCTCTTTTCACTCCCATATGTGATTGTTGCATACTACCTATATTGTATTTATCTGTAGTTTGTTAATTTTCACTACTGAGTTATCTGAATGTAACATTTTAAAATCCACTTATTTGATGTCTGTCATTGGGAATGTGAAGGTCATGCCTTCAGGGATAAAGAGAGTTGCCAAGTCCATTACTTTTAATCATAAATCCCCTTGGCTGGTCCCACCTCCAACCTGCCTACCTTGGTTTCTCTTAGGGAAAGGAGAAGGACTTGCTCTGCTTGCTTTTGTTAGCAGTTATCCTGATGGATCACCCTGCAGGCCTGCCTGGTGTTGCTGGGCAGGATTCCCTCTGCAAAGTAGAGGAGAAATGGCTTCCTTGAGTCACCTCCTATTGCTGGGTAGGGTATGGAAGCATCAGGCCTAAGTCACTTGCAGTTGGGCGAGGATATAAGATACCCTGTCACTTTGTTCTTCCCTAATCCTGGTATACCGAATTATTTTCCTTTGTTTCCCCTGTTTCAGGGTTCTCTTTGAGATGTATTTTTTTATTAATTCCAGAATTTATATTTTTAGTCATCAGAAAAATGAGTCTCAGACACCTGGACCACTAGATTCCACCAACACAAAAACAGGACAATTCAGGACTTCTCTGGTTAAAGAATGGTGCAAGACCCCAAAAAACAAATTTTTAACTTTAGTAACCCTTATTATCTTTTTTAATTATATTATATTGATTATGCTATTACAGTTGTCCCAATTTCCCCCTCACCATTGTTCATTCCATGGGTTATATGTATAAATTCTTTGTCGACTCCTTTTTCTATTCTGTGCTTTACATTCCCATAACTATTCTGTAACTACCAATTTGTACTTAAACCCCTCGCCTCTTCTACCATTCCCCTAAACCACCCTCCCATCTGGCAACCATGAAGATACTCTATAATGAAAATTCTCTCTCTGCTGTTCTTGTTTGAAAGGATTTAGGAAGTAGTGAAGCGTGAGCCAAGACCAGCCATCATATGGAAAAGCCACTATTAATAGCTGTAAGTTGGGAGGGACAAAGTTGAGATAATCTCCAGGGCTGGACAAACATTATTAGCTAGGTTGATGGAGTCTCAGATATGGCACCCGCCTACGGGTTCTGTGGCCCTGCCAGCCTTTCTGCTTGGGAGAAATCTGTCCCAAGCTCTTTCCTTCATGCCAGTCATTTCAGTCCCTCCCCTTATGTCACTGATGCCTTTCAAGTTGCTACCCTAGTACAGGAGCACATGGGAGGGAATCTGAATAAGTTCATGTGTGGGGTCTTTAAGGGGAACTGCTTGGGACTCTCCACCGACTCAATTCCTGCTGGTTCTTACAGCTGGAAGTTATGAGAGCTTATCTTACTGGCACTGAAATCCTAAGCTGGGGGGCTGGGGACTAGTAAGGGTCTGGGACACCTCACTCCTGAGATATCTTTCCTGAATTTTAATCCACCACACGTGGATGTGGCACCAGTCCATTACGCATCTTCACACTTCCTACCAGTCTGGATGGATGTGGTTTCTTTAACTCCATCATTGTCAGACTTCCCTTCAAGTTGATTTCTGATGGTTCTGAGTGATGGGTTTTCTGTAATTCAGTAGTAAATTTTTATGTGGTTGTGTGAGGAGGCAAACTGTATTGACCTATGCCACCATCCACCCTTTATTTTCTTAATTATGATCCCTTTGTTTTTTAAAAAGCGGATCTCTGAGACAGAGTAGAAAATTACATTGATTTAGTTATTGTAGCAAACATTATGTAAGTGTTCAGAAAATTATTTAAACCCTTGCTGTGTTAGATTTGTTAATATGGGTAACAACTAAAATACATCTAAAAATTTTTCCTTTTTAGTCTAAGAGGAAAATTGAAACTATGATGCATAAATGTTGAAGACTTAATTTTAAATCAAATGTACAAATGTTGCTGGAAATTTTTAACAGATGAACATTGATTTTAATACATCTTTAATAAAAGTCTTAATATATCTTTAGTGTTAGACTAGGATCTAACACTCATTTTTTTCTCTAAATGAAGGATTCTATGAAACAGTACACTACTTGCATCTTAAAAAATATAATGCATACTTTCATAATGATTATTTAAATATTGTTTTTATTTTGGGGTAGGAATTTCTGAGTCCCATATCACTTGCATCATGGATTGGAGTTTTTCATAGAAGCTATGGTCATCCATGGATATCAATAAATGGTTTAACTCCTACATTAGAGTGAGTTGTTTGTGTTTTTCTTTTTTGTAGTATATAAAAGGAAAATATAAAAGAGAACAATTCAGAGGAGTTTTATTAATACACTTGTTTAAGTTGAATTGTAAGCATGATATTCAAAGCTAATGAAATGATAGAGAAAAGATGGCAGAGGAGTGAATGGGAGTCACGCTGACCTCCTCCTCCCAAAACCAAACTGGAATTGTGACTAAATAGTGGAGTAACCACCTGGAAAACAATGGAACTATAGTGGGAGAGGAGCCTTGGAGCCGTGGACAGACAGTGGATTCAACTCTCACACATCTCAACAGGTGAGAAGTGTGGTGGAGGCTCGAGAGGGTGGGCTGGGTGCCCACAGGCACTAGCACCAGAGGGACATTGAAACAGCCAGTTAGCTCCCCCCGAGAAAAACGGGGTCTGAATCATAAACAGGGACCCCTAAACTACAGCACCTAGCAGCAGGAAAATACAGACAAAACGCAGCCCCGAAAAGCTTGGGGGCCCTCTCTGCCAGGGACAGGTGGCTGGGGATGCAAAGAGACATTTAAAGGGCCAACACAAAAATTGTAGTGGCAGCCACCTTCCTTGATCTCTGGGTAGAAGCGGCAGCAGGGTGGGCTGGTGCATGGTAAAAGATTGGTGAGGAAAACTTTGTGAAGAGAACTGAGACGGGGGCTGACAGAGCCCCAGTGATAACTCAGCTCCCACTCTGCAGCTACCGTCTCGCTCAGGCATAAGGGAATCAATTAACCTGCCTTTTGTGCACTTTGCACACAGCTTGTGCACATGTGAGCTGGGGGCCTAAGTGCAGAATTGCTGGGAGAGCCTTGAGGAGAGACTGGAGACGGAGGCGCTGGGGAAAGAATGGGAGGAGGAACAGGGGAGTCCCGACTCCTTTCCCATTCTGTAGTCTCCATTCTGGGCAGGCAAAGCGCGCCCCCAAAGAGGCAGAAGCGGGGCGTGCAGGAACCAGACTGCCCCTGATGGAAACGCAGTCCACACAGGTGGTGGATCCTTGGCCGAAGGGGCCACAGAACTGCCCAGAGTCCCTGGAGGAGAGACAGGAGACAGGATTAACCAGAGAGTCCTGAAGCTGACTTCCTCCCATTTCTGTAGTCTCCATTTGGCGAGGGCAGGCAACACCTCCAAAGAGTCAAAAGCGGGGAAATCACACAATAGAAGACCCAAAACAGACCAGGGCCCGCCGGCCTGGGGGGCCAGATGAGTACACGAGGTCACGAAGAAGCCCCCTGGGCTGGGACAAGCATGCACTTGCCCAGGCGGCGGGGTATCCTGCCTGGCCGGGGAGCACGATCAAGGCGCCGGTATGACAGTGCAGAGCGATCCACAGCAATAGTGGATCCCTGGCCCGGAGGGGTCACACAGCTGCCCAAAGCAGGAGTCAGACACAGACAGTAGACTCCTGGAAGGCTCAAACAAACGACCCAAGGCCATATAGGGTCAACAACTGACATAATCAGAGGCAGGCCCAGAAAGAAAAGTAAAGGGGAAAAAATAAATAAATAAATAAATAAATAACACACAGGCTTGCCTAAAAAAGATAGAAACATTTCAAATAAAAGACCTAACACCACAACTTCAAGAATTGGAGAAACAACAACAGATAAATCCCAGAGCAAGTAGAAGGAAGGACAGAGTCAAGATTAGAGCAGAACTGAATGACATAGAGAGGAAAAGAACAATTCAAAGGATCAACTAATCCAGAAGCTGGTTCTTTGAAAAGACAAATAAAATTGACAAGCCTTTAAGCAGACTCATCAAGGAAAAAAGGGAGAGACCCAAATTAATAATATCAGAAATGAAAGAGGAGAAATAACAACTGATACCACAGAAATACAAAGGGTTGTCTGAAACTACTATGAACAATTATATGCCAAGAAATTTGAAAACCTGGATGAAATGGACAAATTTCTAGAAAAGTATAATCTTCCAACACTGAAGGAGGAAGAAACAGAAAGCTTGAACAGACTGGTAACAGGTGGGGAAATTGAAGCAGTCATCAAGAAACTCCTGGCACACAGAAGCCCGGGGCCGGACGGTTTCACAGGAGAATTTTACAAAACATTTAACGAAGAGCTAACCCCTGTCCTTAGACTATTCCAAAAAATCCAAGAGGAGGGAAGACTCCCAGACTCTTTATATGAGGCCAGCATCACCCTAATCCCAAAACCAGATAAAGACCCTACAAGGAAAGAAAAATACAGGCCAATTTCGCTGATGAACATAGATGCTAAAATCCTCAACAAAATATTGGCAAACCACATCCAGTAATACATTAGAAAGATTATCCACCATGATCAAGTGGGATTCATCCCAGGGATGCAGGGATGGTTCAATATATGCAAGTCAATAAACGTAATACATCACATAAATAAAAGAAAAGATAAAAACCACATGATCATCTCGATAGACGCAGAAAAAGCATTCGATAAGGTACAGCACCCATTTATGATCAAAACACTCAGCAAAATGGGAATAAATGGGGCATTCCTCAACGTAATAAAGGCCATATATGAAAAACCTACAGCCAACATCATATTCAACTGGCAAAAACTAAAAGCTTTCCTACTAAGATCGGGAACACAATGATGTCCGCTTTCACCGCTTCTTTTTAACATCGTATTGGAAGTCCTAGCCACAGCGGTCAGACGAGAAAAAGAAATAAAAGGCACCCAAATAAGAAAGGAGGAAGTAAAGCTATCATTGTTTGCAGATGACATGATAGTGTACATAGAAAACCCTGCAGACTCTGCCAAAAAACTCCTCAACCTAATGAGTGAATTTGGCAAAACAACAGGATACAAAGTCAATATTCAGAAATCAAAGGCATTTTTGTACACCAGCAATGCAATAGAAGAAGAAGAAATCAGAAAAAAAAATACCATTTGATAGAGCAACAAGAAAAATAAAGTACCTAGGAATAAATTTAACCAAGGAGGTAAAAGACCTGTATGCAGAAAACTATACAACATTAAAGAAAGAAATTAAGGAAGACACAAATAAATGGAAGCATATACCGTGCTCATGGATTGCAAGAATTAATATCATCAAAATGTCCATACTCCTCAAAGCAATTTATAGATTCAACGCAATCCCTATTAAGATACCAATGACATATTTCACAGAAATAGAACAGACATTTCAAAAATTTATATGGAACCATAAACGACCCCAAATAGCTGCAGCAATTTTGAGAAAGAAAAACAAAGTAGGAGGGATCACAATACTGGACATCAAACTCTACTACAAAGCCACTATACTCAAAACAATCTGGTACTGGCAAAAGAACAGATCCATATACCAGTGGAACAGAATAGCAAGCTCAGAAATAAGCCCAGGTCTATGTGGGCATCTAATATTTGACAAAGGGGGCAGAAGCATAAAATGGAGAAATAATAGCCTCTTCAACAAATGGTGTTGGGAGAGCTGGATGGCTACATGCAAAAAATTGAAATTGGATCATCAGCTGACACCATTCACAAAAATAAACTCAAGATGGATAAAAGACTTAAATATAAGTTGCAACACCATCAAAGTCCTAGAGGAGAACATTGGCAGGAAACTCTCAGATATCCCACACAGCGATTTTTTCACTGATATGTCTCCTAAAGCAAGGGACATAAAGGAAAGAATAAACCAGTGGGACCTCATCAAAATAAGAAGCTTTTGCACGGCGAAAGAAAACATCAGAAAAATGAAAAGGAAGCCAGCCGTATGGGAAAATATATTTGCTAATGATACATCAGATAGAGGTTTGATCTCCAAGATATATAAAGAACTCACTCGACTCCACTCCAAGAAGACAAACGATCCAATCAAAAAATGGGCAAAGGACCTGGGCAGATGCTTTTCCAAGGAGGAGTACAGAGGGCCCAGAGACATTTGAAAGGATCCTCAGCATCACTAGCCATCCGAGAAATGCAGATCAAAACCACCATGAGGTACCACCTCACACTGGTCAGAATGGCCATCATAAACAGATCAACAAACAACAGGAGCTGGTGAGGCTGTGGAGAAAAGGGAACCCTAGTCCACTGTTGTTGGGAATGCAGACTGGTGCAGCCACTGTGGAATGCAGTGTGGAATTTCCTCAAAAAGCTGAAAAAGGAACTGCCTTTTGATCCAGTGATTCCTCTGCTGGGACTATACCCTAAGAATCCCAAAACGCCAATACAAAAGAACCTATGCACCCCAATGTTCATAGCAGCACAATTTACAATAGCCAAGTGTTGGTAGCAACCTAAATGCCCATCAGTAGATGACTGGATCAAAAACCTATGGTACATTTACACAATGGAATACTATGCAGCAAAAAGAAAAAAAATTACTAAACTTTTCGACAGCATGGATGGAACTCAAGAGCATTATGCTAAGCGAAATAAGCCAGGAGGCGAAAGACAAATACCGTATGATCTCACCTATAAGTGGAACCTAACCAACAATACAAAGATGCAAGGAAAATAAGACCAGCAACACTGAAAGGAAAAGAAACCAACAGAGACAAGAGGGAAGGAGGGGGGGCGGGGAAAAGGAAGGGAAGGGGAAAGTCAAGGAACATATAACAAGGACTCATGGACAAAACCAAAGGGGAAGAGTTGAGGGGGGGGCGAGGGAAAGTGGTAGAGGGTAGGCAGAGACAAATGTATTTGAAAAAATAAATTAATTAATTAAGAAAAAACAAAATTAATGAAATGTTGATGTAAATATTAAGAAGCTACTTAGTTTTTTTTAATAACCAACTCTTAACTATATTATATGGAAAACATCACTGCCTATTTGTAAAATAATCTCCTATTACATATTCATAAAAAATCTAATTTTAGTTTCATGGATTGCCATTGTACAATGTAAGAACAAAATTATGCATTTTTCTCCATTACAGGATCGCAGTACCATCATCTGGTATCAGTAACTGTGTTATGCTACACAGATATGGCCTTACATCAAGAAGTTGTGAATCTTCAAAAATATATATTTGCACACATAAGTTTTAGTTTTACAACACTTGAGTTTGGATTCGGCAGGGTAACTATTTTCCTAAAATGGAAATAATATGGTTTCATAAGTCTTCAAGTGAATTATTTGTTTTAATAATGCAAAAAAAAATTCCATAACCATTATTGGAAAATAATATACACATCCAAAAGTACAGGTATCATTTCTTTTACTGTCTGGTGTTTTTTGCTCACCATTGTATTTGTGGCGTTTAACTTTTTTAAAAGATCACATATTCTGTGAGTCAATTTAAATGACTCACAATAATCAAGAATAGGCAAACCTGCAGAGGGCTGAGGGTAAATGGGAATAGGAAATGACTATTTCACATGCTAACTTGTTCACTGCTTCTTTTAGAGGCTGAAAACTTTCCCAATTTTCATAGTGGGATAGCTGCAAGACTCCATGAATATACTTAAAATCACTGATATGCACACTCTAAATGCATGAGTTGTATGCTTTGTAAATTACACCTCAGTAAGACTTTTAAAAAAACACTTGGGGTTAAGTTTGGGATTGCATTTAAACTTTAAGTAATTTATAAAGTTTAGTCACTTTACAATATTAACTCTTATTTATCATTCCATATATTTTCTTTAATTTCTTTAATATATTTTTAAGTTTTCCTATATCGAATTCACAAAGAAATATAAATACAAGTATTTCATAATCATGATTGTGTAAATGGCATACTTATTAAAATTTTCTTTAGTACTTTTTGCTGCTTTAAACAGAAGTACAAGTGAGGTTTACAGGTTGATTTTTATGTATTAATTCTATCATTTCAAACATAGATTCTTTTGAATATGTAAACAGTTATTTTATTTCTTTTTCCCTGGTACAATTATTTTTTTTTCTTGACTTATTTCCATAGGTGAAGGTTTTATGTCCAATGATGGATAGTAGGGACAGTAAAAGTTCTATATGTATCTTTCTCTGTTTTAGGGGAAAATATTTAAATATTGCATCTTTAAGTATGAGGTTTCTTTTAAAGTGTTTTTATTATACCTTTCACATATTAAAGCAATTCCATAATATTGCTATTTTCCAATAGATTTTATAATTGACATTACCTATTTATTGTTTTTCTATCATTTGTAATGACAAATGTTTTCTCTGTAAAATATTTTATGAGGTGAAATACCTTTATTTCTTTCAAATGTTAAACCAATCTTGAATTTCTAAAATAAAGCCACAGTAATCATTTTGTATTGTCCTCCTTCAAATTTCAATGCATATGTTACACTTAGATTAAGTTGCTTTTTTTTATCATGTTCACAAGGAGTTCTAAAGAATCAGTTTTCATTTATGTTATGTACTTGACATAAATCAAGTCAAGGATTTAATATCAAGGGTATTAAATATTTTTAATATCAAGGATATAACAGATGTCCCCATTCCCCACCTCCCCCTGCCCACCTGCCCCACATTCCCTCTGGCCATCACCACACTGTTGTCTGGGCCATGCACAAATGTCCCATGGTTGATGCCTTCCCCTTTGTTCATCCAGACCCCTCCACACCCCTCCGCTCTGACAGCTGTCAGTCTGTTCCTTGTATCTGTGCTTCTATTTTATTTCGTTCATTAGCTTATTTTGTTTTTTAGATGCCAAATATAAGTGAGACCATATGGTATTTGTCTTTTTCTGACTGTATCATTTCACTTAGGATAATAATCTCTAGTACTGTTATAATTTTAATGGTTTTTTTCACTACTAATGCCATCAGAACTTGAAGAATGCTTTTGTAGCAAGTTTATAAATGAACTAAATTCCTGTAATACATGCTAGATTTACTGAGGTTTCTATTTGTTGCACCACATTTTCAAAATTTTCTATGTAATATAGATATTAACATGTGTTCATAATATGACTTTCTTATCTACTTAATATGTGTAACTATGATCATGTTATTCCAATGTTTATTCTAGATATAAAAGATTCATGTTTTAAATTATTTTTACAGTCATTTGTCAATTGTATTTGTGTTGCAGCCTCCCTAGGTTGTACAGGCCCACTCGAGACTCAGGTAGACGGAAGAAGATGCCTTGAGCCATGGGGATGCTTGACATGCCTTTATTCGGGAGTCACACAGGCCACATGCCCATGTCTATGTTGGTGCCCTGATTCCCTCACTCTATCTCTCTTTCCCTCTGTGAGAAGTTCCTACCTCCATAAGTACTAGCCCAAACAATCTGGCTTCTTTCCAGAAAGCGGAGTAACGTAGCGTGAGCTGTACATGCGAGCCTACTCAAGGGTGAGGGGCAGTTTATCGCACCAATGCTCAAGGCCGTGAGACCCAGGCTCAAGGTTGTGAGAACACCGCTTCATCAGACTCCTTCAAGGGTGTGAAACGCTGCTCCCCCTAGTTACCCAAGCATCTGGTGAGGAAGCCAGACTGCCTCCACTTACCCTACCGTATTATTTTTAATGAGAATAACTTTGGCCTTCTTGATTCTCCCTATAGTAATTTCTTGTTTCTTTCTTGTTTTTGTAATTTTTGTGTGTTTTCCATGTTCATTTTTATTTAATTTCACATAATTTTAGTGTTTCCAATTTTGTTTATTAAGGTGAATGCTTGGATTTCTTCTTTTTGGTAAGATGTGTGATTGAGATTATCACCATTTCACCTGACATTTACTATAATAATTTCCATGAATTCACATAAAAATTGTGATTGTTCATTATGATCACTTCTTTGGCCCATATGTTATTAAGAAATTTGTTACTGAATTTTAAAACAATGTAGGAACTTTAAAATTTTGTGTTACTAATTTTTATTTTTGTTATACTCTTTTCAGAGAATTTTCTGTGAAGCTATAAATGTTCTACATCTCTTTTTAAATGTGACTAGTGTGACAGAGAAACCTATCTAAATTTGTGTTTATTTTTAATAAAAAATTAAATTTGAATACCCACACTTCATGCGCCCATTGCCAAACTTGAGGAGGGGTTACTGCAATGACACCATAACTCTATACCTCATAAATGGGAGTATTTTATACAACCACCATGTGGGTGTTATACTTAATTGTTTGTCTTAAATTTTCTCTAGTATTTCTGACATATCTGCTTCTTGATAAACTGTGAGAGAAAATCATTTCCATTTCTGTTTAAGACTATTTACTTCACTTTTGAAACATGTATTAGTTCTACACAGATTAAAAATAAAAGTATTGTTAATGGTTTGGCCATTCAGTTTGTTCTTATGACACATGCTTCATCATTTCCCACAATGATTCTTGCCTTATGTTGTGACAGGACATTAACTATAGTAGTTTCCTACTGGTTTGTGTTCCAACAGTAATTTTTCACCTTTATACGCTTGTGTCTTTCTTTTTAAGTTAAAGAAGTGTCTCATTAAGACAACAAACTGTTATTTTAAATATAAACATTCTTGGAATTTAAATAGAAAATTATCAATTTATATTTAAATAATTATTAAATTATTATGTGTTATTTATATATTTTTATGTGTAAGTTATTGCTATAATTAATTATTAAGTAGTATATAATTATAATTTAATTGTAATAAACACTACAAGTGATTTCAACTCTACCTGTTCTTTGTTTTCTTATCTTTCATCATAAATATTTTTATTTTTCACAATTTCTAAAATTTAAGATGCTTTAATTTTATCTGCAATGTATTGTTTCTCTTTTGATTGATCATGCTGTTGCAGTTTTTCCCACTTTTTCTCCCTTTCCCCACTTCCACCTAGTCCCACCTTCTCTCCCCTCCCAAAGTCGATCACCATATTGTTGTCCGCGTCCATGGGTTTTGCATAAATGTTCTTTGATTAATCCGTCACCCTCTTTCATCCCATTCTCCCCTTCTCAGTCATCTGTCTGTTCTATGAATCTATGCTTCTGTTTTATTTTGTTCATTAGCTTTTTGTGTTCATTAGCTTCTACATGTAAGTGAGATCATGTGGTATTTGTCTTTCACTGACTGGTGTAATTCACTTAGCATAAGCTTCAGGTCCATCCATGCTGTCCCAAAAGGTAGGAATTCCTTTTCTTTTCCCCATAGTATTGTGTTCCATTGTGTAAATGTACCACAGCTTTTTGATCTACTCATCTCCTGATAGGCAGTTAGGCAGTTAGGCAGTTTCCAGATCTTGGTTATTATAAATAACAATGTTATGAATATAGGGGTGCATATATTTCTTTGTATTGGTGTTTTGGATCCTTAGGATATATTTCCAGGGGTGGAATTGCTGAGTGCCCTCAGGATATTCCATATTGTTTTCCACCGTGGTTGTATCAGACTCCATTCTCACCAGCAGTGCATGCGGGGTTCCTTTTCTCTACATGCTTGTCAATATCTATTTTTTTATTGATGGTGATCATTCTGTAAGGTGAGAGGTGATATCTTTTTGTAGTTTTAATTTTCCTTTGATGATCAGTGATGTTGAACATTTTTTCATATGTCTGTGTACCTTCTGTGTGTTCTATTTGGAGAGGTGTCTATTTAGGTCTTTAAAGATTCATTTATTAGTGGCCTACATTTTACAACATAAATTCCTTACTCATTAAAGTCTAACCAGTTAGTACTTTTTCACTCTTACAAAAGTAGCCCTGCCATTTATTTTTATTTACTGCTTATACATATTTGCTCCCTTGAATTCTAATACAAGTATTTATTTTAAAATTTGAAACTTTACTATTAATCTTCTTATTGACAATATCCAGACAGGTATATCCAAATAATTTATTATACCACTTCCCTTTTCTTTCTGTACATCCTAGTTGTCATCTAGAAAAAGTGTTTTATCTTTAGAAGACTCTTAAATATTTTCTTTAGTAAGAGCCAGTTAATAATTTTCTCCATTTCTGAAATTCCATTTTTTAAAATGAATGGATATTTTCACCTGGTATTGAATTTCAGTTTGCCTATCTCTTTAAGTTACTAGGTGCTATATTGAAAAAAGTAATAGTCAAATACAGTCAAATATGTATGCATGTATTTGTATATACATATTGATAATATATGTGCATATATGATATATATTTTCATCCTAAATAATCAATTCTATCTACTCATTATTTTGAGTGAATTCAATTGTGCCTTATGTTGTCTGAGTATATATTTCAATAAAGTTAAATGCCATAAAAACCATATTTTCAAGTTAAAAAGGAAATACATATATAAAATTATTTAAATAGGAACACCAATATGAATGACAGAAAACAAGTGTGCCAATTATCTACAGACACCAAAAGCGAGGTTTACATTATTTGATATTATTAATAACTTGATATATAATGTGATAATAAAAATATTAATTTAATTTATAAAATTATAACATTCTTAGACATAAATGAAATTGGAAGCACAATATACCAAACAAAGCAGTTTTAAGAGGGAAGTTGATATCAATAACTGCCTACTTTTAGAAACAAAGATGCAAAATAAACAACCTAAGTTTATACCTTAGGAAACTAAAAGAATAAACAACACAACGTCAGCTGAAGAAAGAAAATAAATACTAGAATAGAAATAAATGAACTGAGAACTTAATATCAATAGAAAAGTTTAAACAGAGAGTTGTTTCTTTGGAACAAAAAAATTAACAAACCCTTAGCTTGACTAAAGAAGTAAAAAATAGATAAGGCCCAAGTCAAGAAAATTTAGAATGACAAGAAGACATTACAGCTGAAACCACAGAAATTAAAAGGATCATAAAAGGCTACTATGAAATAACGTATGCTGACAACTGGACAATTTGAAAAAAATGGAAATATTTTAGAAAAATACACTTACCAAGACTAAATCAGGAAGAAATAGAAATTCAAATAGACCAATTACTAGTAAGGAGATTGAGTCAGTAATTAAAGTTCCCAATGAACATCAGCCCAAGACCATATATGGCTTCATTTATGGGATTTTTCACCAAACATTTAAAAGAATTAACACCAATTCTCCACAAACTCTTCCAAAAAATTAAAGAGGAGTGAACACTCGAAAACTCATTTCATAAGACCAGAATTATCCTGAAACCAAAACCATAAAAAGGCACTACTAGAATAGAAAACTACAGGCTAATATCTCTGATAAATTTAAAAGAAAAAATTCTCAATAAAATCTTTTAGAATAAGAAAACGATTTCTCAGAGGCATTTGCCAATGGACAAACTGCACCAGCCCAAAGTCTCCCATGTTGTGGAGGTGTGTGATGAAATATACAGTCTTCAAAATAGCCCAAGTGTAAGAATTTCCTGTTCAAACGTTGAAGTGATACATTAATGAGAAATCTGTTTTTTCCTTTCAGGCCTCACTCAGCCTTCACAGGGCAGTCTGTGGGAACCACAGAGATTGTTTACTAGAGTGAGCTGGTCCCCCACTAAAGGATGCAGGACTTTCTGGCTTCCAGAGGCGTATGTCTCTACTCCTGTCTGTCTCTTAGCCCATCTCATGTGGGAGGGATTACAATGCTAGATGTGATACAAGTGAGGTATGATTAATATACAATCAAAGCAAAGAGAACATTGGTATCTTTATTCATATAATTAAGGTAAAAAATCAAGAATAAAATATGAAGTATGTTTGATGATATCTTGAACTACTCAAATTCTTACCAGTGGAGAATTACTCAAGAGCATACACACATGAATAATTGAGTGTTTTAATCAAAGCAATTTAAAGGAAAGTCCTATAAGAGTCATGAAAGGAAATCGCTACTTTTTTTATTTTATAGTCAATATAGATATAATTATATATTATTTTATATTCAGATAAGCTTTAAAAAAGTGATTTTTAAAATAAATTATATTAATTGTGGAGGTCAAACATAATATTTTATACACATAATTATATTAAATAAATGTAATTAGCTTTTAATAAAACTCAGGATGAAGTACTCCCATAAAATTCTAATTAAAGCTTAATTATAAACAATCAAAAGACTTTCTAAAAATTAAGCAACCATTGCTAGAAAATGTACCACACTGATAAAGAGATGCTGACTAATGAATTAAGCTACAGCACTCCACTGATGTGAATCAGAGATAATATAAAAAATGTGTTCAAATAATAATTAGCATAACTAAAATATTGGGAGCATATAGAAAGATGAAATATTAAATGTTTTACATGCATTATGTCTACATGTTTTTATTCCTATTTTACAGTAGTAGAGTAAGTTGCTAGGCACTAAGTAGCTTTGTTAAGCTCATACATTGCAAATTTCAAAGCCGGAATTAATTCTAGAATTCACTGCCATACACCCTATTGAATGAATTATTAAATTACATTATTTTATTCATTACTATTGCTTACAGAGAAATCCCTCACTGACCCTCACTGACTTTCACACCCATAGGAACTGTTTGGAAGTTTGAAACAACAGTGTTTTAATATAAACGACCTACACACTTTTGTATCATGTTATGGTTGTATATCTTTGCCCATAACTCAATGGCCAATTTCTTGTGTAACATAAGTATTTTAAAATTTTATGGTTGTTGTTCTATTGTTAACATTGCTTAGGTTTTGAATAAGTTTAGTGTGACTAAAGTGTTTCAGCATATGAAACTTTTAATTTGTGATCATTTGTCAAACATTCAAAATAAAAGATCATTTGATAACACCTCATCCTTTTTAATAAATAAATGTATGTCACTAAATAAAATTGATTCATTCAGAAAATTACTATGTATGCCATCATGACTAGTGCCCCACCTTTAGGACACTCAGTCGTTAATCATTATAAATTTCAAATTTATCATAAATATTGTCTCTTTTTAAATATAGCATTTTATTTTTAATACTAGCATCCTAATGCTGTTAAAATATTTCTGTGGAATTGGACTTTAAATAAATAAAGATGTTATAATTTATGAAATTATTTAATCAGTAACATACAGCTTTTTAATGCTCAAATAATTTATAGTCAAATGTAGAATATATTAAAAATTGTATCTACCATGAGGCACTTCTATAAAGATCTAAAAAATTTATAACCAAAGCATTAGATTCTTCACCTGGGAAATGAGCCCGATACTCACCCTCTACTCCACCCAGTGTTACTGTGTGAGATCTCTTCACTGCATGTACCATTTATTCGTAAGCACACATACTGTAGAGCACAGACTCAGACACCACTCAGCTGCAGAGATGAATGACCAAAGGGTAAACTACACAGAACTGAATCTGGTGAAGGACTCAGACAGACAACAAATGAAACCAAAGGGCACCAAAGGCTCCATTCCAGTAACTGAGCAGGAAATAACCTATGCAGAACTAAATCTTCAAAATGCTTCTCAAGATCTTCAAGGGGATGACAAGAAGGACCACCACAAAGGTAACACTTTCAAATAAACATACAATATAGGTGTTCTAGGATGTGCAGCTGGGGTGCAGAGGTGTGGGAGAGGGTAGGGAATAACCTCATAGATTTTTCATCTTAAGGATAGAGCTTGAAGTTGGAATATGGTGTTCTAATATGAAAGCTGAGGGCTGATTTTATTCAGACATTGTTGTAAGTTGTCGTCTTTGACCAGTAACTCATGGAGAAGTATATTTAATGAAAATGCAATGATATATCCTGAGAAGAAGATTACAGTGGGAGATATGAGCTTGGGGCCCAAGTTTACGTATGTGATTTTCTGTGTGTAAACTGTCCAAACAATTGCTTCCATCCATCTTTTTCAGTGTTTTCATTTCCCTCCCTGTAGCCTCCCCATCACCTCCTGAGAAGCTCATTGCTGGGATCCTAGGGGTCATCTGCCTTGTCCTGATGTCCACTGTTGTAACAATAGCTTTTAATAATACCTGTGAGTAAACATTTGTAAGATTATATGAAACTTTTTACTTTTATGTTCATCAGTGCTTCCAAACACTTTGTAATATTAGAAAATAGAACTCTCATTTTAAAGTATGCCTTTAAACTAAGTACAAAATTGCTATTCTGTATTTGTCCAAGGTGTAAATATCAGCATTATTTTAAAAAGTAGTTTATAAATATATATGCATATCCCATATATCCATATCCATTCTTGTGATAAACTTTAAGGCATGCTTTAGGACACTTTATGGAGATGTCAAACAAATTCCTCATATTGATTAATCTAAATAGTGTAAGAGTTGGTGAAGTTGGCTTCTCAAGGCTTTTGAAACGTTTTCCCCCAAATTATCATTGCTTCATTAATTTTCCTTGGTAAAATCTATTTTATTCCAGGTTATTTTAATCCTAGACCATATACCACATTTCAAAGTAAGAAACAAAACTATTTTGCTTTATTTAGATCAACGTTAACTGTTTATAATAATTTTTTTCTAGCTAATGTAATACTGGTGCAGAATAATTCTTCTTTCTTGTATATAATATAAATTATATATTATTTTAGCAGGGAATCAGAAAGGTACACCAGAGAACCAGACAGAGAACTGGACAACAGGAGAGCCGAAAGGTACAGAATTATTTTCTAAGCTCTAATAGTAGTACAGCCCATACTTTGTCGCCAACAGAGTCAAAATTTAAGTTTCTTTTTCATGGTGGGGGGAACATAAACATTAAATAAATGTACATAAGTAATGCATATAGACAAGTGTTTTTCTTAACCAAAAATATGAGGATATACGGACTTAAAATCATCATAGAGAAGGGGAAGGGGCAAGCAAAGGAACGGGAGTAGAAGACTCACGGACACAGACAATGGGGCAGACTGACTGCGGGAGTGGGAGGGGGCTGGGCGGGGTGGGCAATGGGGAAACGGCGGGACGAATGCAACTGAACAACAGTACAAAAATAAGTAAGAAAGAAAAATTCTTCTTTGACAACAGGGAATGGAAAGATACATAATTATTTCCGAAGTTGTGATACTAGTACAGTTCATACTTTGTCTCTACTGTAGTCAAAATTTAGAGTTTTGTTTTCTTTTTTTGGTAGAAAGAACATAAATTATAGTACTGGGCAATAAATGTCCATAAATAATGAGTGTACAAGAGTGTTTTCCTTAGGCAAAAGTATGAAGGAATATTTATTTGAAATCATCACACCCACTGTTGCCAATGGGCTCAAAGATAATTTTGGTTTTCTAAAAAAGGGGCTTCATTCATTGACATTCAGGGCATAAAGAAAGGGGATATTTTTGTTTATGTATTGGCTTAATATGGGCACACAAATTTGGGAATAAGAAGCTGACCCTTCTCTGTGAGTTTGTGTGAGTGTATTTTGTTTTATACACACCAGTCTGTGAGGATATATACGTAGGATCTGCACTGCTGTGTCGCCACTTATGCAAATACCAAAATTAATTTTCATTTTCAAATGTGCATTGTTCTTGGATAAGAATACATTACCTTTCTTCAGCATCTCGTTGTGGTCGATGTCCACCGGAGTGGTTAATGTATTCCAACAATTGCTACTACATCAGTACTGAACAAAAGACATGGAATGAGAGCCGGGTGGCCTGTGCTTCTAAGAACTCTGTCCTGCTCTATGTAGATGATAAAGGAGAAATGGTAAGATTTTTAGTGTTTCCAACATGTTATTTAAAAGGGTATTTTATTTTATATTTTTGTGGAATTCATGTGTTTGGATATATCTGTAGTTTATTTCTTTTAAAGACTTAATATTTTATTGTTTGACTCTATAATATTTTATTTATATCTGAGGCCATTAAAGTCCATTTAATAGTTTCCAGTTCTTGGTTTTCAGAGACAAACATGCTTCTATAAATGCTTTCTACCCTAACGTGATCTTTGTTACTTAATTTCACCATGGTCATGGAAACTATAGATATCGTTGTTATAAGCTGAGTTATAAGCTGTGTTATAAGCTGAGATTCGATCGTGAACTGGATGTTGCCAGTCCGCTCCTGTGCGCTCTCTCATCACTTCTCCTCCCTCCTCATTTAACCACTATTCTGATATTTCATATTACAAATTATCTTTGCCTTAACTTTGGATTTTATATAATGGGAATCCTCCATTATGCATTGTACGTGTCTCCATTAACTCTCACATGACTTTTTTTTCCAATGAATCCATATTTTTGCATTTACCTGTTTTTGTTACTGTTCACTTCTATATTGTATATACCTGGCATGTTCAATCTACTCTATTCAGAATATAGATGTTTTAGTGTGTGGGTATTATGGGTAATTATTTAATAAAAATCCTTATGTATGTCTTTTTTCCAGATCACTTAAAATAATTTACATTATATACAAGTAATACATATAATATATATTTTTATGATAATTGTTATGTTTATAATATAATAATTTATAAATATAATTATTACAATTGTATATGTGTATAGTTAAAACGCAGTGCTTTTTTTGCATCAGAGAGAGGTTGCATATGTATGTGCCTAATATATTAAATTATGCCAGCACTTTCTAGTTTATTGTGTAAATACACAGTATATCCAATAGTGTCATGATCCAAAATTTAGTATTGCCAGGAATTTTAGTGCCGCCAATTCTGATCATTATATGAGTATCATTGTGCCATTACTAGGCGTTGTCCTGACACTGATCTATTGAACACATCCTTCAGAGCACAATTCACTATGAAATTCGCCACTGTGAGAATGAGAAGTGCGTATTCATGTCTTTTGACCATTTTCCTGTATGTCACCTGCTATTTTCCTTCTTAGAAGTTGTTATATTTTGGATATGACTCTTTCTGAATCTGAAAGATGCAAATGGCTTTCTTGACTGTTGATTACAATTTTCTTCTCCTGTTGGAGTCTTTCATGACCAGCATTTATTAATGTTACCATAGTCAAATAACTCAGTTTGGGTGGTAGTGATTATTTTGGACATATTTCAGGATTTAGTCAAAGTTCATGCAGATAATCTACTGCTTTTCTCTGTATGGTTTATCTCCTTTCTTTATTGATTGACTTTTACATTTAGGTTTATAAGATTTTGAGAATTTATATTTGTGTGATGTTGTGTCTGTAATGCTGTGTGGTAGAAGCAAAGTTTATACTTTTCTACATCATCATCTAAATCATGCAGAATAATGTATAGCAGATGATCTTGTCTTCATAAATGACATTATATGCATGGGCATACATATATTTTAACATAAAATTTGAGAAGTTGTTCATTCATTGTGTGTCAAAAATTATTTTTTGGTCTTTTCCTGTCTCTCTTTTTAGTCTCAGGCAATATTTACACCAGTGTTGGTTTTACTGATAACATTCTCAAGCTCTCTGAGGCTCCATTAATTTGTCCCTCTTTCTCTCTCCACCCTCAGGAATCAATCCCTTCTATCACTCCATCTTTAATTTCCTCACTTCTTTCTTCTGCATCTCAAAATTTATGTAAATGTATTGAAATTTTTAACGTAGGTAATGATTCTCAACGCACAATTTTATTTGATTCAGTCATACCGTTTTTATTTCCCTAATTGTTCTGTCGCTGCCATTATATTTTCATGTAGTTATTTGAACATAATCTTAAAAATGAATATTAGGTAAATATTTATTTATAATAGTAACTATTAAATATTTGTACAATGAATCCAACGTCTTGTCCCAGTAAAAGTTAGGTGTTATGGCAGGATGTTCCCGCTGAGTATGGAAGATATTTTTCAGTTGCTTGGCATGTTTTTAAAATATTTGTTAGTATATATTTTCAGCAATATACTAGAATGAACATGGATCCTCCTTCATCCTTCTTAGATTTATATTTTTATAACTTCAGTAAACTATTAGTGTAGAATCTTCTCTCTTGAAGTGTGCTGACTCAATTTTTAAATTCCTTGTTATTAATTTATTTTTAACCTTGATTACTAGGGATTCCTCTTGCATATGCATAGCTTACTTGACAACCAATGATTTCTTAAAAAATGTATTCAAATACCTCAAGTCCCTATGGCTTCTACCCTCTGCTATTTGATATATTTGTGTGTGTGTTTCTAAGAAGTACTTATAATTTTAAAATCAGTTCTCAAAATCACTTTGGCTTTTTTCTTTTTTTTCCAACTGGATCATCTGTGCTTTTTCTACACAGTGCAAATTTTCTTTTCCATCAAGAAAACACGTGTAGAGAGTTAATACCATCTCTTCTTCTGTGTTCTCATTTTTAATAACTTCTTGTTGTATTTATTATTGGCATATTGTTTGACACAAACAGACTAAAATGAGGATGGTTTCCCTCAATTTTAACCTAGTCAATTCAGCGTTTTGACCTGAAAAGGGAGTGGGCAACATAACAACCCCTTCCACTGCTAATCCAGTCTTCCCCGGTGGCAAAACATTGATATTTGCAGCATTCCCCAAATAGCAAACATTACAATTCTTACTTGCTGTACTGAGACGGGGCTCGGGGGAGAAATGGGAGCAGTCCTACAAATGAAGACTGCAAGTTTGCTCTATTCTTATTTGAATCTCTAGCTGCTTTTTCCAATAATAAATACTCATGTTATTGTTACTCTTTTATCAACTCTCAGTAAAACTGTTCTGTTTGTCCTTTCAGCTAATCGTACTCATACATTTTCTTAAAGTGTCCCTGTGTAAAATTGAAAGACTATAACTTAGAAAAATTAACTTTATTTAGCTCTTCATTGTTAAGATCATCTTTAATTTCTTTGCCAATATACAATGTACTTAGTACCTTAATATTTTGTCTGTCCCCATTTGAAGTCTCATAGCTTGCCATCTAAAACTTTGCCTTTGTCAAACTGCTTTAGAAGAAGATTATAAAATACAAATTATAAACTATTATAACTGTATCTACAGAATGTTGATTAGCACATTAAAAGACATTGATATAGGTTCAGTCCAGGTAGGTCAGGTCGTGAGAGCATTATTTGAATACACGAAGGTTGCTGGTTGAACCCCTTGAATGCACTGAGGAGAAACAGTTGAGGAGTGCATAAATAAGCGGGATAACTAATTGATTGTTCTCTCTCAAGTCAATAAAAATTACGTAACAAACAAAGCAAATAATAATATTGGTTTAAAAAAGGAGGCGAGTTTATTTGGTGTACATCTAATCCCTTTTTAAATGAAGAATGGTAAAAATGCTTACCTAAGTATGAAAATTAAGAAGAGCTTAAAAGGTTGTGCACTTTGAAACTTTTATCAAAAGGTTGTGTTTCTAATTGCCAGTTATAAAAACAGTCACAGCAATGCAAAGTGCAACATGGAGAATATTGTCAATAATATTCTAATAACCTTGCATAGTGTCAGATGGGTTCCAGATCTATTGGGGTAGTCACCTCTCAAGGATACACATGTACAAAACAATATTGAAAGTCAACTGTAAGCAAAAACAATTTTTTAAAAAATTGTTCTTCAAAATGTGTTTTCTGAAAATATCAATGTTGCATTTTGCTAAGGTCAATTCATTAATGTCCAAAATTATTCACATTGTTTAATATCAACAAAATCTGCATTCAAAATCTCAGTGTACAAAGAAAAACCAGGGACAAAAGAATTATAATATAGTCACTTAAAATATAAAAAGGTGCTGTGACCATGTGCCTCAGTTGGTTGGGCATTATTCCACAAAGGGAAATGTCACTGGTTTGACTCCCAGTCAGAGCACATGTCTGTGTAGGATCCTGTCTGTAGGACAGACAGCCAATTGAAGTTTCCATTTCTTTCTCCCTCCCTTCCCCTCTTTCTACAAATCCATCAATAGAATCTTTAAAATAATAAATAAAACAAAATTAGATATAAAGCTTAATACTTCTGTTTTATTCTCCCACAGTAGCCCGGTTGTCGATTTCCTTTTTCTTTGATGGCTTGTGCGTCTCACAGCAACATGCAAGATCCTTTTTCTCCTATTCTTCTGCCTCTGATGGTTGCTGGTTGGCTTGTTGGACACGTACCCGTGCATTTTCAGCTTGGGCGTCTATGTCATCACACTTCTTTGCTTAAGAATTTTGATTCCCAGATCTTTACGAAGTTCATTAATATCCATAACATCAGCTTCAGTTTGCCTAATATAAGCTTCTCCCTCTCATGAGTAAGATATAGGTCATCCTCTGTAATTCCCTCACCCTGCACCTGACATTGAGGGTAAGTTTGGCTATTCCCAGACACAAGATTCCTTACTTTTGAACTCTCCTCAGGAAAACCACCAGATACTCTTGGACCGGTCCCCACTTCTGCAACAAGCTCTTTCTCTTTCTCAGCAACTGGTCTTCGGGCCTTTGGAAAGTTGAACTGACGCAGTGCATTGACCAATAAGTAATCTCCTGTTTTCTCTTCATGCTGTTCACTGAGACCGGTGGGAAGAGATCCAAACTGTTTAATGGACTCACCAGTTTCTTTGGCCAGTTGGTTAGGATACTGCTGCTTCCATTGCAGCCGTTGCCTGAATTCAGGTGAATCTTGAGGTGTTCCACCGTGATTCAGTCTTTTGTATTTCCATAAAACATTATCTTCTGGATGTTGGATATGCTGGACCAGCTGGGTGGGGTCCCCTACAGTTCCTGGATTGCAGGACGTGGTTAATTTGCCTATTCACTCACTTCATCAGTTGTCGATGGGCTGTGCAGTTTACTTAGCCATCACCTCCTCTTTTAACTGTCGGCAAACTTTATTTGTTTTTTATAAATGCAAATTAACCTATCAACTTTTACCTAACTTCCCTTAAAATTTGTTTTTGCATAGAACTTTTTGAACATTTTCGGAAAAGCTCCATGGATTGTACTTTCACAGAAAAATAATATTTCCTGGGTGTGGAAAAATGCCTCAACATTCCTTTTCAAAAAGTAAGTGTCTTTGGAATGCATATATTTTATTCCCTAGTGCTTTCAAATCAGGCTCTAATCTTACAAATTAAAAGCAATGTGTGAACAATGATATGAAAAATCTATTTAAGTGTCTTTGGAAAAAACATTAGGAAATATTCAGATTTAGTATGTAAATATTACTGTAGATAAGTTTTTCATGTATTAAAATATGTACATGTCACCAGATTAATGATTTATTATCTCTGCTTTTCAGATTTCCAAAAACTTCAGAGTTGGGCAAGAGTTGTGCATATGGAAATTTTGACACAGAGAAGTTCTCTTTCGCATCTTGTTTAGAAAACAGATCGTATGTTTGTAAGCACCAGGCACCTTAGCTTACCTACACTTGGCATAATGTTCCTCTCACCATCTGTAAAGGTCACATTTCCAGCTTCTTCAGGAATGCTGCAATTACTTTTGCAAAACTGATTTTTAAGAAATTATTTTGAGCTCAGTTTTATTTCACCACACAATGAAGAGGGAGGTTCTGAGATGTCCCATCTCCCCTGTCCCCCTGGGTGCAGCGCCTCCCCATTATCTGCGTCACTCACTGGACTGGGATATTTGTTACTGAGAATGAATCCACTTTGACACATCATAGTCAATTAAAACCCATAGTTTTTCTGAGGCTTCGTTCTTGATATTGTAGAATTATAATAAAATCTATACTTATGTTGATTTTTAAAATATGTATGTCCAGGTACATATTCAACATTTTAAAATCTTCTGTTATTTAATAAAGGAAATCAGGTGTGAATTATGAATTATAATATCAATTACTGTTACTTCTAAGTCTAAAATGACATGAACCATTTGAGAAACATTTTCAGTATAATTGATTTTACATGACTCTGGAATGCAGAAATTGAGGACTGAACATATCGGCATAGAAAGGTGTGTAAGGCAGTCCAGTCAGGGGGGAGAAACCAGGGATGAGTTAAACAATTCTTAGCTCTTTTGGGGGGTAGCCTGCAGAGAGGGATAGAAGAAAATTACAAAACTTACCATATGTTAAAGAAGAGTAATAAAAGTAAGAATCACATGGGACCCAGGCCAACTTCCTCGCAGGTGGGTTTCAGACTCCATGGCAGACAGTGTGACTACAGAACACTCTGTGGCAGACATGGTCACTGGCCTGCTCTAGGAGAGAGCCGTTGCCAATCTGTGGCTTTTATTGTGGAGGACAGATTTCACACTGTGACGGGCAAGTAGGAAGACTCCCTGTCAAACTGTCAGCAGACAGAGGCTGGAGAAGAGGGGACTATGGCTGTGACTAGTTACAGAAACTTGCTGGAGGGTGAATCCCACACGAATTCCTGCACACATGCGGAGGTAATCACACCAGTGTAGCCGCTAGAGAGAAAACACCATGAAACCAGGAAGAGTCATCCTTTCTCTTCAGTGCCCTTTGCTGAAGAAACATCAAGAGCACTGACTGGAAAAGATGTTACAGGGCCTGGTGCCGTTATCTCAGAAGGGGCAATACTTACAGATTTGGAGCGGAGAGTACTACATTCTTCATTCGTACTCAAGATTACCGTGCAACATCTCCTAGATTTCTATAGAAAATCCATGTGAATATACTCCCCTTGCTCATAGTATGGAAAATCTTATATCTTCTGAATATGTTTTGGTGCCGCAGTATCAATGAAAGAGTCATTTCTTTTTTTTTCCTTTGGTAGGGACTATTGGTTTCATTGGGTAATAATCAATGTCCTTTGATATTTTTTACATGTCTGTTGTTTTCCTCTACTGGGTTTCAGTTCTTTTAGAAGGTATATTGTTTTATTAGATTCTCTCGTTCCTTTTTGATACTCTTAACTACTATGCTTAGAAATCTACTTTGATAGAAAAAGAAAGTGTTAAATTATAAGAAGATAAACATTAAAAATAAAGTATCCATTTGAATCAGTTAGTAATTGACAGAATGTGTGGTGAAATTTAGTAATTTGAAAATCATTCAGAGATATTTTTGGAGGGTTCTTTTTATTCATATTTTTTATAGTTGTTCAATTATATTTGTCCCCATATTCCCCCCAGTACTCTCCCCTGCCCTTCCCATCCCCCACCTACCACATTCCATCCTGCCCCCCACCCTGTTGTCTTTGTCCTTGGGTTTCTTTTACATGGACCTTGATGGCCCTTTCCTTTCTTCCCCACGCTATCTCCCTCCCCCATTCCCCCACCCCGGTCACTGTCAGTTTATTCTTTATTTCAATGTCTCTGGTTCTATTTTGCTACCTTGTTTGTTTTGTTAATTAGGTTCCACTTATAGATGAGATATACTGTACTTATCTTTCCCTGCCTGGCTATTTCACTTAGCATAATACTCTCCAGTTTCATCCATGCTGTCGTGGTTGGAAGGAGTTCCTTCTTTCCGCTGCATAATATTCCACTGTGTAAATGTACCACAATGTTTTGATCCACTCATTTACGGATGGGCACTTAAGCTGTTTCCAGAACTTTGCTATGGTAAATTATGCTGCCATGAACATTGGGGTGCACTGGCTCTTGTGATTTGGTGTTTAAGGATTCTTGGGTATAATTCTTCCTATACTGGCTTATTATTTGAGAATATTAATAGCTCCTGCACATTCATCTCTTTGAATATATTGTCTTTATATTCTCTATATTTATTCCTGAGATTCATATAGAGAAAAATGTGATTATTCAAAATTAATTTCATATAACATGTATGTTGTATCAAATTGTCAAAGTTGTGTTAGAAACAACCCTGTTGCATTGACATTTACAAACAAACACTTTTGGACTCAACTTTTCTCAGTTACCCATTTGTGGTTTTGTTGGCTTTCAGTTGATACAGGCTGAGCATGTATGGGCGTAGCTCGTGACCACAGAGTCAGTTCAGATCTTTTTTACATATTTTATTCTCCTACCAGTGGGCTGCATGATATGTGACCTTGTCATGATGGTGATTAAGCCACTCTCAGCAGGACTTGCAGAAATGTGGTTCTTAATGCCTGTGCTCAGAACTCAAAAACTGTTACTTTCGCAAACACTAACTATATTATCCAAACAAGTCACATGGCCAACCTTATGAATATTCTGCAAAGTGTACTTTTCTCATTGTGGCCAGAGAAAAAAATGTAGAGTCCCCAAAAAACAATATAATCTACAATAATAGCCATAGAAACATGGGCAGAGGAGAGCAGGACACCAGCAGTCATGACTTCTTACAAAGGTGATGGAAATGCCAGAGCTCAGAATGTAAATTATCCACATACACTGTGGAGCCACATTGCTCCTCACATCATTTCAGTATTGCCTGATATGTTTCTTTGTATTTTAACTAAAATAATTAACAAATTAATAGATAGACTATTTTGTGATCAAAATAACTTCTCAGTTAAATAACCAGTTATCAATATAGAGAAACAAACAGAGAAATCATGAAACTTTTGAGGGGAAATCACCAATGAAATGATCAGGAGAATAAGTCAGAAAAGGAAATTAATTGATCAAAGCCAAAATTCCCCCCAAAAGTAGTCAGACTTCTTTGGATGATGTCGGTAAAACTGTGACTTTTGTGTGTATAATTAACACCCTGTTCATCCCAACAGCTACTTTTCTCATGTAAAATGACTATGACAAGGAGCATCATAATGATTGAAGAGTTTGTTTGAATTTCTCTACCCTTCACAGATGTTCAGCATAAATAACAAAAAAGAAGAAATAAGCAACAAGCTCTGGGAATGGAGAATGTCTTTGAGACCACAATGACTGATACTTTGTGATGATTAGGAGCAAATTTATTGACATGGCTAGTTTCCACGCCAGCTTATGTATCTGTCCAAATATGATGTTCCCAGGGATTCCAGCAGAATTGCAGCTTCCTCTCAGATGGCACTCATGGATATTCTAACTCTTTTCAAAATGTTTTCATGCAGCATTTATACCTCCTAACATCTTATTCAGAGTTTGGCACACATAATGTTCCTTTTTATGCGCTAGTAATCGATACCAAATCTTTTAGTACAAATCATAAGCATGTAATTCTGTAACATAATATCACACTCAAACACATCATAGGACCTTGATGTCTTTTTGTACAAGACATTAATGCCCCCCCCCCCCCACAATCAATGGCTTTAGTTCTGCTCTACCGTGACTTTAACGTTTTCTGGCTGACACGAAAAACAGTTATTCTTTCAGAGTTTTTGAAGCTTAGACTCTGAAATGAAAGTGTCAATAGAGCTATCTTCACTGTGACGATCCAGGGGAGACTCTGGGCCTTGTATTCCTCTTAGTTTTTTGTGTAGCCCTCAGGCCTCGGCACTCCTTGGCTTACAGACATCCTGCTCCAGTCTCTGCCTCTGTCAGCTCATTGTTCTCATCATGTGTCTCTGTCTCTGTGTCCAAATGTCCCTTTTCTTATAGGATAACATATGTATTAATTAGGCCCTTCCTATAGCAGTATAACCTGATCTTAACTTGATTACATTTGCAAAGACCCAGTTCCCAGATATGGTCACATTCTCACATCTAGTGAGACATTAATTCTCAATTTGGGGAGGTGTGGACATTTGATACTAGAAAATGAGTTGAAAAAACATATGAATGTCCAATTTTTTTTTTTGTCTGACTATCACTGTAATTGGAAACAGCATTTGGTTTAGTGTTTGTGAAAAGTCCATTCCAACCGTGTATGTGTTAAAGGCGGGAGTGTGAAGTGAAGGCTCTCAGAGGAGAGGGGTAAATGTCCTGTCACAAAATCAGAAGCAACAGTTGACTCAGAATCCATAGCTCCATGACAATTAAAATATTTCGCCATTCTTAACACTTCAAAATATAACAAACATGTTTAGTTTTTTTAAGGAAATGTCACACTGGTTTCTACAGTGGCTGCACCAGTCTGCATTCACACCAGAATTATATCTTAAGAATCCTGAGTCACAAGTTGAAAACAGCTTATGCACCCTACGTTCATAGCACCGCTATTTACAATAGCCAGGTGCTGGAAATAGCCTCAGTGCCCACCGGTAAATGAGTAGATAAACAACTATGGTCCATTTACACAATAGAATACTATGCAGCATCCCTTTCTCAACAGCATGGATGGAACTGGAGAGCATTATGCTGAGTGAAATAAGCCAGTCTGTGAAAGATGAGTACCTATGATATGTACAGATATATATGAATCTGAATGCATATGAATATATATTCATATATCGATGTATATGAATATAACAAGCAATAAGTAATGATATTGTTCACAGGGCTTTCATACTTTGCACTTAGACAAGGAGATAAAACCATATTATGAAATATCTTATATTTGCAAATGCAATTTTGCTTTGTTTTTTAACTTTCAACTACAGTTGGCATTCAACATCATTGTATGTTGTTTCAGGGGTACAGCATAGTGGTTAGACCCTTACATAACTTGTGAAGCAATCCTCAGATAAGTCTAGTACCCACCTGGCAGTATATGAAGTTATTTCAATATTATTGACTGTATTTCTTATGCTTTATATTACCATGACAACTGCGTAACTACCAATTGTAGAATCTTCTCTTAGAAATTCTTATATTCAACAGGGTTGCATAGCAATTAAAATTTTTACAAGCTGTTGTTTTTTGTTACCTTTTTTCCCTTTGGTGAGAACATTTAAGATCTATGTCTTAGTAAATTTCAAGTATGCATACAGTGTTTGTGACTATAGCCACCATGTAATACATTAGACACTCAGGCCTCACTTAGCAAAATGCCTTCGGGTTCATCCTGGTTTCTCAAGGCTGAATAATAATTCATTATTATTATGTGTGTGTGTATAACTTTTTTTAGTTGATTCATCCATTAAGCACACAGAGGTTGATTTCAGACCTTAAATAACCCGGGAATGCAGACACTTCTTCCTAACAATTGTATCACTTTCTTTGGATAGATCCCCAGGGGTTGGATTGCTGGACCACATGGTATTTTCATTAATGACTTACTTACCAGTGATGGATAAATAGCCTGTCTTTTGTTAATACATATGAGACAGATGAAAAGGATTCCATTTGATACACACTGGATAACCCAGGTTTAATTATTTATTTCTTCTGATACTCGTGTGTCATTTAACTTCTGTTTTCAAAACTACTGTGTGCACTCCCAGATTGTGGTTATGTGAAACTTGTAAAAAGTAAATTTGTTTTCTTCCTACATAGTTATATTTTGGCTTTTGTCATTTAAAACAAATATTTCTATTTAAATACAGACCACTCATTATGAGTGGAGGATGAATTAATGAATATTATAATGAGTAGTATTTGAATATTTCAATCTCTTGCATTATGGTAGAGTGCAATGTTGTTTAATGTTTTCTCCTTCACAGAGACACTTGTTTTTAATCGGTGGAAACATAAATTACTTATATAAAAATTACAAAACTTAATTCAACTTTTTTTAAAAATTGAGGGCAGAGAGATAGAGGAGATAAGTTTGGTAATTAATATTTGCGACAGCTATCCTAAGTTGAAAATGTTGTCATTCTTCAGAATATTAGAGACAAATATCATTGAGTACCTGTTGTTAATGGGATTATGATTTTAGTTTTTCCCATTAAAACTGAAAGACAATGAGAGTATAAATGAATTTAGGTAATGCCACTATTTAGCAGCCTTGTCTGAGAGTAGGACTTAAACATCTAGGATACTCTTAACAAGGCCTAAGTTTTCAGTGTTTGTAATTTTTAAGATGGAGGGAAGTTAACAGCATGGATGGCCAAGTTTTTGTCCCGGAAATCTTTGAGGATATGAAACTAATTTCTCAGATTTCCCAGAGGCACTTATCACTGGATAAACTAAATGATGCCCTACAAGTTCAAGTCTCTTATATTCTGGTGGTGTGTGATGAGATAAACCATCTTCAAAATTGCCCAAGTGTAAGCATTTCCTGTTCAAACTTAAGTGACGCTATGATGAGAAGTCTACCTCTTTCTAACTTTTCTTTACTCTCCATCTTCAAGGGGCAGCCTGTGAGGACCACAGATGTTGTTGTTGACACGAGCAACCAGGTCTCCTCTAGAGGGTGCAGGGTTTTCTGGCTCCTAGAGGTAGACATCTCTTCTCTCCCATTTCTCTACTGACCTGACTCATTTAATGGCAAATGACAAGTGCTAAGTGCGATACAAATGAAGTCCACTTAATGTACAATCAAATAAAAAAAACACTGGTATTCTTTTTTGCACACTTTACAGTAAAGAGTAAAATATGAAACAATTTCAAATTTTTGCCTGTGCAAAATTACTAACAAGAATACACACATGTATATTTCAGTTTGAAAATCAGTATAACTTAAATGAAAGAACCATGAGAATCATGACAAAGAACAGTTAACTTTGGATTTTGTAATTAATACATATAATTGTATGTATATTACTTTATATTTAATCCAGGTGGTAAAATAGATTCTTAAAATGAATTCGTCAAATCATGAAGGTCAAATATAATTCCTCAATGATGCATTTCAATTAAATAAAAGCTGTTTGACTTGCAGCAAAAATCAAGATTTAGTAGTCTCTGTAAAATGCTTATTTAAATTTAATTATAAACAATCAAAAGATTTTTTAGAAACTGAACAAAACGTTGCAAAAAGAGATGCCACACTGATAAGGTACTCCTCTGGCAGGAATTGTTACACTGTCTGATATAAGTAAAAATTGGTACATGGCAACTGTGTTCCAATACTTAAATCAAGTAATTTGGAAAACTTGTTGAGTATTAAGTGTTTTACATGCATTGTATTTCACATATTTTTATTTCCATTGTCATTAGCACACTAGGTTGCTAGACACTAAATGTTTTTAAAGGTCATACATTGCAAATTTCAAAGCTACGATGTATTCCAAATCTCACCGCCGCAGTGCTAATGACTGAATTATTCAATTACATTTACTGATTTATTCCATTTCACTCTGTACTAAAGCTACTTTCACAGAATTTGACAGCAAAAGGGATTTTCTGGACATTTGCACCAACCATAAATGTTCCTTCATAAATGATCTCCAACATATTTATGCATCATTTTGTGGTTTCATATCTTAACTATTAAATAAGTTGCAAGTTACTTGTGTAAAATATATTTAAAAATACATTAATATTCTATTGTTTTACCTATTAATTAAGCTTTGGATAACTTTACTGTGTCATGTAACACTTTTTAACGTATAAAATATTTCATTAAAGTGTAAATGATCTCTCAGAACTCTATAAGTATTCAAAATAAAATATCATTGGATAGCACCTCTTCTGTCCTTTTACCTGATAATTGTGACTTAATTTTATTGCAGTTGATTACTATATATGCTAACATGACTATTTCCCCCAACGTTAGCACACTCAGCCTTTAAACAACGATGGATTTAAAATTTGCTATTAAAGTTGGTGTACTGTCTCTTTTCATATAACATTTTAATTTTCACAGCTATTCTTTTAAAATGTTTCAGTGGAATCTGTCTTTATATAGATATTTTTCTGAACTGCTTTATTCTTTGCTAACTTACTACTTTTCATTGTTTCAAACAATAATATGTCAAACATAGAATATCATTAAAAAGAAAAACCATTGTTCTCCCAGAAACCTCTATTTGAGTCTCTACTTAAATTAGAACAAGACTTCACGTTGGTCAAGTGCAAAGTGAGCGCTGCTTCTTATCTCACACTCCACCCACTTTGACCCTCTAAGGGATCTTGTCGTTACGCACATCATGTGTTAACACTGAAGCACTGATACCATAGGCACCATCGCTGACATTACTCAGCTGCAGAGATGGATCTCCAGCAGGAAAACGACTCAGAACTGAATCTGGCAAAGGACTCCAGGAGACAGCAAAGGAAAGGTAAGGACATGAAAAGCTCCATTTTACAACAGCAGATATCCTCTGTGGGAATAAAGGTTGAAAATGCTTCTCAAGATCTTCAGTGGAAAGACAAGAATGACCACTGCAAAGGTTACATATTTAATAGACGCACAGTGTAACTGCTCTAGCAGGTATAGTTGGCGTGAAGACTTGTGGGAGAAAGGGTAGGGATATAGCTCACATGTTTTTTCATTTGTGAGGATCAGGGCTTAAAGTTGCAATACCATATCCTCATATGAATCCTGAGGACTCATTATTTTCAGGCATTGTTGTAAGTTGTAGGATTTGATCAACAACTCATGAAGCATTATATTTCCTGATGATGCAACAGCATATTCTGAGAGCAAGATTACAGTGATAGAGTTGGCTTTGGGGGGGTTCAAGTTTATTTATATGATTCCCTGTGTTGGGGGGGGCTCTCATGCATGAAAACTGTCTAAACGATGTTTCTCTTTCTGGTTTCTCTCGCTGCGGATTCTCCATCACCTACAGAGAAGCTCGTGGTTGGGATCCTGGGGTTCATCTGCTTTATCTTGATGTTCACTATAGTAAGAGTGATGCTACTAACTTTCTGTAAGTTTTGAAATATTTCAGGAGAACTTCCCATCTTAATGTATCTCAGTGCTTCTAAACATTTATGACATTGTGGAATAGAGGTCTCATTTAGAGGAAGCATTTAGATAATTGTGGAATGTTATCTTGAATTGTCAAATGCATAAGAGAATGATTGTAGAGAGCTTTTTACTCATATTCATTTATTCCAATTTCGTTACTCAAATATTTGCTTTGGAAATCTAAAAAATCTTATGGAGAAATACAAATGAATCATTGAGATTGGTTAAATCAATATTGTAAGAAATGGTGAAGTGTGATCCTACAGTCTTTTGAAGTACTCTTCCCTTAAATTGTTATTATTGTATTCATTTTTCTTTGTGAAATCAACTTTACTTCAGATTTTTCTTCTCCTAAAAATTCACCAAATTTCAATCTCAGAAACTGAAATTATGATGTTTTAATTTGAGCAGTATTCATTTTTATTAGGAGAATCACTGTAAATTTTTCTAGGTTTTGTAAAACTGGAGAGGGGCATTTTGTCTACAGTAGGAAGGATGGAAACATATACATTATGATTTTCAAACTTCTGCTTTAAATACAGTTTATATTCTCCATTTTAGGGAAAACAAAAATATAGTATATTTTATGGAGAATATACCTTATAAAATATGGCAATTAAGTGTTCATAAATATTGATTATTGGAGAGTGTTTTCTTCTTATGTGAAGAACTACAAATTCAAAGTTACCATGTCCGTCCCTGACTTGGTGCCTCAGCTGACTAGAATGTGCTCCCGTACACGAAAATATTGCAGGTTTGATTCTTCGTCAAAGCTCATACCCAGGTTGTCTGTTCAATCCCTGTATGGAGCGCATACAGGAGGCAACTCGTCAATATTTCTCTCTCCCATCCCTGTTTCTCTCTCTTTCTCTCCTTTCGTCTCTCCTTAAGATCAATAAGCCCATCCTCGTGTGAGGATAAAAAGTAAATGAATAAAATAAAATCACTATACCCATTGTGACCAATGGGCTTAAATGTCCTCCTACTGTAAAAGATGAACAAATAACATAGCTCTTCTATTTAAAAAAAAAATAGGCTGCATTCATTGACTTTCTGGACATGAGAGTACAGATATATTTTTATGTATTTTTTAATGTGGTACTAATATTAAGGGATGAGAGATGTCCTTTCTTCCTGATGTGTGTATGAGTGCTTTTTGTTTTATATGTATCAGCCTGTAAGTGTGTATAGATATTATGCTGATGTATGTGTTATGTATATGTATGCATATATGTAGGTTAATTTTTTTAATTCAAACTGTGTTCAGTTAAAATTCATAATTTTTATGTTCATTAGTGCCTCTAAACACTTCATAATTTTATAGAAAAAGCTCCCATTTTAAAGTATGTCTTTAAACTATGGGCAAAATTGTTATCCTGAATTTCTCCAAAAGGTTTATATATCAGAAACATTTTTTAAGAAATACAAATAAATTCCTCATATTGATTAATCCATAAAGTGTAAGAGTTGGTGAAGTTGGCTTCTCAAGGCTTTTGAAACGTTTTCCCCCAAATTATCATTGTTTCATTAATTTTCCTTGGTAAAATCTATTTTATTCCAGGTTATTTTAATCCTAGACCATATACCACATTTCAAAGTAAGAAACAAAACTATTTTGCTTTATTTAGATCAACGTTAATTGTGTATAATAATTTTTTTCTAGCGAATGTAATACTGGTGCAGAATAAGTCTTCTTTCTTGTATATAATATAAATTATATATTATTTTAGCAGGGAATCAGAAAGGTACACCAGAGAACCAGACAGAGAACTGGACAACAGGAGAGCCGAAAGGTACAGAATTATTTTCTAAGCTCTAATAGTAGTACAGCCCATACTTTGTCGCCAACAGAGTCAAAATTTAAGTTTCTTTTTCATGGTGGGGGGAACATAAACATTAAATAAATGTACATAAGTAATGCATATAGACAAGTGTTTTTCTTAACCAAAAATATGAGGATATATGGACTTAAAATCATCACAGAGAAGGGGAAGGGGCAAGCAAAGGAACGGGAGTAGAAGGCTCACGGACACAGACAATGGGGCAGACTGACTGCGGGAGTGGGAGGGGGCTGGGCGGGGTGGGCAATGGGGAAACGGCGGGACGAATGCAACTGAACAACAGTACAAAAATAAGTAAGAAAGAAAAATTCTTCTTTGACAACAGGGAATGGAAAGATACATAATTATTTCCGAAGTTGTGATACTAGTACAGTTCATACTTTGTCTCTACTGTAGTCAAAATTTAGAGTTTTGTTTTCTTTTTTTGGTGGGAAGAACATAAATTATAGTACTGGGCAATAAATGTCCATAAATAATGAGTGTACAAGAGTGTTTTCCTTAGGCAAAAGTATGAAGGAATATTTATTTGAAATCATCACACCCACTGTTGCCAATGGGCTCAAAGATAATTTTGGTTTTCTAAAAAAGGGGCTTCATTCATTGACATTCAGGGCATAAAGAAAGGGGATATTTTTGTTTATGTATTGGCTTAATATGGGCACACAAATTTGGGAATAAGAAGCTGACCCTTCTCTGTGAGTTTGTGTGAGTGTATTTTGTTTTATACACACCAGTCTGTGAGGATATATACGTAGGATCTGCACTGCTGTGTCGCCACTTATGCAAATACCAAAATTAATTTTCATTTTCAAATGTGCATTGTTCTTGGATAAGAATACATTACCTTTCTTCAGCATCTCGTTGTGGTCGATGTCCACCGGAGTGGTTAATGTATTCCAACAATTGCTACTACATCAGTACTGAACAAAAGACATGGAATGAGAGCCGGGTGGCCTGTGCTTCTAAGAACTCTGTCCTGCTCTATGTAGATGATAAAGGAGAAATGGTAAGATTTTTAGTGTTTCCAACATGTTATTTAAAAGGGTATTTTATTTTATATTTTTGTGGAATTCATGTGTTTGGATATATCTGTAGTTTATTTCTTTTAAAGACTTAATATTTTATTGTTTGACTCTATAATATTTTATTTATATCTGAGGCCATTAAAGTCCATTTAATAGTTTCCAGTTCTTGGTTTTCAGAGACAAACATGCTTCTATAAATGCTTTCTACCCTAACGTGATCTTTGTTACTTAATTTCACCATGGTCATGGAAACTATAGATATCGTTGTTCCTATTATAAGCTGAGATTCGATCGTGAACTGGATGTTGCCAGTCCGCTCCTGTGCGCTCTCTCATCACTTCTCCTCCCTCCTCATTTAACCACTATTCTGATATTTCATATTACAAATTATCTTTGCCTTAACTTTGGATTTTATATAATGGGAATCCTCCATTATGCATTGTACGTGTCTCCATTAACTCTCACATGACTTTTTTTTCCAATGAATCCATATTTTTGCATTTACCTGAAGTTTGTTACTGTTCACTTCTATATTGTATATACCTGGCATGTTCAATCTACTCTATTCAGAATATAGATGTTTTAGTGTGTGGGTATTATGGGTAATTATTTAATAAAAATCCTTATGCATGTCTTTTTTCCAGATCACTTAAAATAATTTACATTATATACAAGTAATACATATAATATATATTTTTATGATAATTGTTATGTTTATAATATACTAATTTATAAATATAATTATTACAATTGTATATGTGTATAGTTAAAACGCAGTGCTTTTTTTGCATCAGAGAGAGATTGCATATGTATGTGCCTAATATATTAAATTATGCCAGCACTTTCTAGTTTATTGTGTAAATACACAGTATATCCAATAGTGTCATGATCCAAAATTTAGTATTGCCAGGAATTTTAGTGCCGCCAATTCTGATCATTATATGAGTATCATTGTGCCATTACTAGGCGTTGTCCTGACACTGATCTATTGAACACATCCTTCAGAGCACAATTCACTATGAAATTCGCCACTGTGAGAATGAGAAGTGCGTATTCATGTCTTTTGACCATTTTCCTGTATGTCACCTGTTATTTTCCTTCTTAGAAGTTGTTATATTTTGGATATGACTCTTTCTGAATCTGTAAGATGCAAATGGCTTTCTTGACTGTTGATTACAATTTTCTTCTCCTGTTGGAGTCTTTCATGACCAGCATTTATTAATGTTACCAAAGTCGAATATCTCAGTTTGGGTGGTAGTGATTATTTTGGACATATTTCAGGATTTAGTCAAAGTTCATGCAGATAATCTACTGCTTTTCTCTGTATGGTTTATCTCCTTTCTTTATTGATTGACTTTTACATTTAGGTTTATAAGATTTTGAGAATTTATATTTGTGTGATGTTGTGTCTGTAATGCTGTGTGGTAGAAGCAAAGTTTATACTTTTCTACATCATCATCTAAATCATGCAGAATAATGTATAGCAGATGATCTTGTCTTCATAAATGACATTATATGCATGGGCATACATATATTTTAACATAAAATTTGAGAAGTTGTTCATTCATTGTGTGTCAAAAATTATTTTTTGGTCTTTTCCTGTCTCTCTTTTTAGTCTCAGGCAATATTTACACCAGTGTTGGTTTTACTGATAACATTCTCAAGCTCTCTGAGGCTCCATTAATTTGTCCCTCTTTCTCTCTCCACCCTCAGGAATCAATCCCTTCTATCACTCCATCTTTAATTTCCTCACTTCTTTCTTCTGCATCTCAAAATTTATGTAAATGTATTGAAATTTTTAACATAGGTAATGATTCTCAACGCACAATTTTATTTGATTCAGTCATACCGTTTTTATTTCCCTAATTGTTCTGTCGCTGCCATTATATTTTCATGTAGTTATTTGAACATAATCTTAAAAATGAATATTAGGTAAATATTTATTTATAATAGTAACTATTAAATATTTGTACAATGAATCCAACGTCTTGTCCCAGTAAAAGTTAGGTTTTATGGCAGGATGTTCCCGCTGAGTATGGAAGATATTTTTCAGTTGCTTGGCATGTTTTTAAAATATTTGTTAGTATATATTTTCAGCAATATACTAGAATGAACATGGATCCTCCTTCATCCTTCTTAGATTTATATTTTTATAACTTCAGTAAACTATTAGTGTAGAATCTTCTCTCTTGAAGTGTGCTGACTCAATTTTTAAATTCCTTGTTATTAATTTATTTTTAACCTTGATTACTAGGGATTCCTCTTGCGTATGCATAGCTTACTTGACAACCAATGATTTCTTAAAAAATGTATTCAAATACCTCAAGTCCCTATGGCTTCTACCCTCTGCTATTTGATATATTTGTGTGTGTGTTTCTAAGAAGTACTTATAATTTTAAAATCAGTTCTCAAAATCACCTTGGCTTTTTTCTTTTTTTTCCAGCTGATCATCTGTGCTTTTTCTACACAGTGCAAATTTTCTTTTCCATCAAGAAAACACGTGTAGAGAGTTAATACCATCTCTTCTTCTGTGTTCTCATTTTTAATAACTTCTTGTTGTATTTATTATTGGCATATTGTTTGACACAAACAGAGTAAAATGAGGATGGTTTCCCTCAATTTTAACCTAGTCAATTCAGCGTTTTGACCTGAAAAGGGAGTGGGCAACATAACAACCCCTTCCACTGCTAATCCAGTCTTCCCCGGTGGCAAAACATTGATATTTGCAGCATTCCCCAAATAGCAAACATTACAATTCCTACTTGCTGTACTGAGACAGGGCTCGGGGGAGAAATGGGAGCAGTCCTACAAATGAAGACTGCAAGTTTGCTCTATTCTTATTTGAATCTCTAGCTGCTTTTTCCAATAATAAGTACTCATGTTATTGTTACTCTTTTATCAACTCTCAGTAAAACTGTTCTGTTTGTCCTTTCAGCTAATCGTACTCATACATTTTCTTAAAGTGTCCCTGTGTAAAATTGAAAGACTATAACTTAGAAAAATTAACTTTATTTAGCTCTTCATTGTTAAGATCATCTTTAATTTCTTTGCCAATATACAATGTACTTAGTACCTTAATATTTTGTCTGTCCCCATTTGAAGTCTCATAGCTTGCCATCTAAAACTTTGCCTTTGTCAAACTGCTTTAGAAGAAGATTATAAAATACAAATTATAAACTACTATAACTGTATCTACAGAATGTTGATTAGTACATTAAAAGACATTGATATAGGTTCAGCCAGGTAGGTCAGGTCGTGAGAGCATTATTTGAATACACGAAGGTTGCTGGTTGAACCCCTTGAATGCACTGAGGAGAAACAGTCGAGGATGCATAAATAAGCGGGATAACTAATTGATTGTTCTCTCTCAAGTCAATAAAAATTACGTAACAAACAAAGCAAATAATAATATTGGTTTAAAAAAGGAGGTGAGTTTATTTGGTGTACATCTAATCCCTTTTTAAATGAAGAATGGTAAAAATGCTTACCTAAGTATGAAAATTAAGAAGAGCTTAAAAGGTTGTGCACTTTGAAACTTTTATCAAAAAGTTGTGTTTTTAATTGCCAGTTATAAAAACAGTCACAGCAATGTAAAGCGCAACATGGAGAATATTGTCAATAATATTCTAGTGACCTTGCATAGTGTCAGATGGGTTCCAGATCCATTGGGGTAGTCACCTCTCAAGGATACACATGTACAAAACAATATTGAAAGTCAACTGTAAGCAAAAACAATTTTTTAAAAAATTGTTCTTCAAAATGTGTTTTCTGAAAATATCAATGTTGCATTTTGCTAAGGTCAATTCATTAATGTCCAAAATTATTCACATTGTTTAATATCAACAAAATCTGCATTCAAAATCTCAGTGTACAAAGAAAAACCAGGGACAAAAGAATTATGGTATAGTCACTTAAAATATAAAAAGGTGCTGTGACCATGTGCCTCAGTTGGTTGGGCATTATTCCACAAAGGGAAATGTCACTGGTTTGACTCCCAGTCAGAGCACATGTCTGTGTAGGATCCTGTCTGTAGGACAGACAGCCAATTGAAGTTTCCATTTCTTTCTCCCTCCCTTCCCCTCTTTCTACAAATCCATCAATAGAATCTTTAAAATAATAAATAAAACAAAATTGGATATAAAGCTTAATACTTCTGTTTTATTCTCCCACAGTAGCCCGGTTGTCGATTTCCTTTTTCTTTGATGGCTTGTGCGTCTCACAGCAACATGCAAGATCCTTTTTCTCCTATTCTTCTGCCTCTGATGGTTGCTGGTTGGCTTGTTGGACACGTACCCGTGCATTTTCAGCTTGGGCTTCTATGTCATCACACTTCTTTGCTCAAGAATTTTGATTCCCAGATCTTTACGAAGTTCATTAATATCCATAACATCAGCTTCAGTTTGCCTAATATAAGCTTCTCCCTCTCATGAGTAAGATATAGGTCATCCTCTGTAATTCCCTCACCCTGCACCTGACATTGAGGGTAAGTTTGGCTATTCCCAGACACAAGATTCCTTACTTTTGAACTCTCCTCAGGAAAACCACCAGATACTCTTGGACCGGTCCCCACTTCTGCAACAAGCTCTTTCTCTTTCTCAGCAACTGGTCTTCGGGCCTTTGGAAAGTTGAACTGACGCAGTGCATTGACCAATAAGTAATCTCCTGTTTTCTTTTCACGCTGTTCACTGAGACCGGTGGGAAGAGATCCAAACTGTTTAATGGACTCACCAGTTTCTTTGGCCAGTTGGTTAGGATACTGCTGCTTCCATTGCAGCCGTTGCCTGAATTCAGGTGAATCTTGAGGTGTTCCACCGTGATTCAGTCTTTTGTATTTCCATAAAACATTATCTTCTGGATGTTGGATATGCTGGACCAGCTGGGTGGGGTCCCCTACAGTTCCTGGATTGCAGGACGTGGTTAATTTGCCTATTCACTCACTTCATCAGTTGTCGATGGGCTGTGCAGTTTACTTAGCCATCACCTCCTCTTTTAACTGTCGGCAAACTTTATTTGTTTTTTATAAATGCAAATTAACCTATCAACTTTTACTTAACTTCCCTTAAAATTTGTTTTTGCATAGAACTTTTTGAACATTTTCGGAAAAGCTCCATGGATTGTACTTTCACAGAAAAATAATATTTCCTGGGTGTGGAAAAATGCCTCAACATTCCTTTTCAAAAAGTAAGTGTCTTTGGAATGCATATATTTTATTCCCTAGTGCTTGCAAATCAGGCCCTAATCTTACAAATTAAAAGCAATGTGTAAACAATGATATGAAAAATCTATTTAAGTGTCTTTGGAGAAAAACATTAGGAAATATTCAGATTTAGTATGTAAATATTACTGTAGATAAGTTTTTCATGTATTAAAATATTTACATGTCACCAGATTAATGATTTATTATCTCTGCTTTTCAGATTTCCAAAAACTTCAGAGTTGGGCAAGAGTTGTGCATATGGAAATTTTGACCCAGAGAAGTTCTCTTTCGCATCTTGTTTAGAAAACAGATCGTATGTTTGTAAGCACCAGGCACCTTAGCTTACCTACACTTGGCATAATGTTCCTCTCACCATCTGTAAAGGTCACATTTCCAGCTTCTTCAGGAATGCTGCAATTACTTTTGCAAAACTGATTTTTAAGAAATTATTTTGAGCTCAGTTTTATTTCACCACACAATGAAGAGGGAGGTGCTGAGATGTCCCATCTCCCCTGGCCCCCTGGGTGCAGCGCCTCCCCATTATCTGCGTCACTCACTGGACTGGGATATTTGTTACTGAGAATGAATCTACTTTGACACATCATAGTCAATTAAAACCCATAGTTTTTCTGATGCTTCCTTCTTGATATTGTAGAATTATAATAAAATCTATACTTATGTTGATTTTTAAAATATGTATGTCCAGGTACATATTCAACATTTTAAAATCTTCTGTTATTTAATAAAGGAAATCAGGTGTGAATTATGAATTATAATATCAAGTACTGTTACTTCTAAGTCTAAAATAACATGAACCATTTGAGAAACATTTTCAGTATAATTGATTTTACATGACTCTGGAATGCAGAAATTGAGGACTGAACATATCGGCATAGAAAGGTGTGTAAGGCAGTCCAGTCAGGGGAGAGAAACCAGGGATGAGTTAAACAATTTTTAGCTCTTTTGGGGGGTAGCCTGCAGAGAGGGATAGAAGAAAATTACAAAACTTACCATATGTTAAAGAAGAGTAATAAAAGTAAGAATCACATGGGACCCAGGCCAACTTCCTCGCGGGTGGGTTTCAGACTCCATGGCAGACAGTGTGACTACAGAACACTTTGTGGCAGACATGGTCACTGGCCTGCTCTAGGAGAGAGCCGTTGCCAGTCTGTGGCTTTTATTGTGGAGGACAGATTTCACACTGTGACGGGCAAGTAGGAAGACTCCCTGTCAAACTGTCAGCAGACAGAGGCTGGAGAAGAGGGGACTATGGCTGTGACTAGCCACAGAAACTTGCTGGAGGGTAAATACCACAAGAACTTCCTGCACACATGACCCTGTCAACCACAGCACTGTAGCCAAAAGGGCGAAAATCCATGAAAGCAGCAAAAGGAGCCCTTCTTCTCCAGGCCCTTCACTGAAAGTAGCAAGCCAGCTGACTGGAAAAAGGTTAAAGGATCTGATTCCATTATCTCAGGAAGGGCACCATATACATATTTGGAGCAGAGAGTACTAAATTCTTAATTGGCACTCACGGTTACTATGCAACAAGCCCAAGGTTTCTCCAGGAAAGCCACGTGACTATGCAACACGTGCTCAGAGAATGGAACCAACACCAATATCTTCTGAATCTATTTGGTGCACGTAGGGTAAATGGAGGAAATCTGGCTTCCTTACCCAGATGTGTAGCGAACTAAGGTAAGTAGTGTTCTCATAGTCTCGAGATTGGGCAAGATATGTATTCCCATAGACTTGGGTGGGCTCGCATGCACAGAAATTCGCTATGTTACACAACCTGTTTTGGCTCTGCCAGCTTTGTTTACTCTTAGCATGTAAGGGAAATAGGGGCATCGGATGCAGGGGCATGCAGTAGGCCATGAGAAAGGGGACAGGTGACATGCCATGTGACGTGCACGGGTACACATGTTGCAGCATGCGTGGATCACCCACCCTTGTATAAAGGCATGTCAAGCATCCCTACAGCTTGGCGACTTTTCTTCTGCCTGCATGAATCCCAGTGAACCTGTCTGGACTTGAACAGTCACACGGCAATGGACTTAGGCAGCAGGATTCACTTGGTAAGGTAATGGAGGAGCCTTTGGGGTCTCCCAAGGGGCACCAGGCCCCGTTGCCCATCTCCTGGTAGCTTGGACTTCCCTTCCCAGGATGGGCCCAATGTTAGTGGAGCACCTGACACTCTAGAGATGGCCCTGCGGGTAATCGGGGAGACCCTAGAGAGGCCCAGAGCCCCTGCGGACTCGAGAGCCATGGGCTGGCCGTTGTTTTCAGCTTTGCAACCCGTGACAGACACTGTACTTTGAGACACAGCAAAGTTAAGGGGACTCCAAGGGAGAAGGGAGCTCTGAAGCCTGAAGAGGAGACTGCAACTCCCCAAATGGCAGAATTACTTCAATGCTGAGGCAGAAAGAAAGCCTTGAAGGCTCCACTCTGTGCCCTGACGAATAGCCTTCAAGCTGCCCAGCTACAATAGTTCCCTCCCCACTCACACTGAGCAATTCAAGGGAAAAGGTGGGGAGAAAACGGAACTGAGGTCCCTGCGGCCTGCCCAGTACTGATATAGAAAATGGAATGGATGCAGCCAATGGCGTCTGGGGGGAATCTGGATCTGGGAGTCTCAGGTCCCCTCCCCCACCCCCACGGATGTATAATAAAGTTGCTGAAAGTGACTTGTCCAGAGGACTGAGTCCCTGGCCAGGTGCTCTTCTTGTGGAGGCGCAGACCCTGTAAACTCTTCTTCCAGCCTGCTGATAAGTAGAGGAGGGAATGCCGTAGGCTAGCGGGAAGAAATGCTATGCCTGCTGCCAAGGCTTAGAGATCAGAGTTGAGTTTGGAATATATATTTGTGACCATAATGATTAATATTATATGGCAATTAGAGGCAAATTTATCAACATTGTTATTTTTTATACCAACTTCAGTTTTCTGGCTTATACCAAAAATATTTATTCTATCACAGTTCTGGAAGCTTACACTCTGAAAACAAAGTGTCAGCAGGGCTATCTTCACTATGAAGATCCAGAGGAGACTCTGGGCCATGCATTTCTCTTAATTTGGGGGGCAACCCTCAGTCCTTGACATTCCTTGGCTTACAGACAACTTACTCCAGTCTCTCCCTCCCTCTGTCATCTCATTGTTCTCATCATGTGTCTCTGTGTCCAAATGTCCCTCTTCTTAAAGGATATCATATGTATTAGTTAAGGCCCTTCCTATACCAGTATGACCTTATCTAACTTGGTTACATTTGCAAAAGCCCTTCCAGGTAAGGTCATGTTGTCAAACTCTAGTAGACATTAATTTAGGGGCTGGAAGGGTGTGGGCATGTGATACTACAAAATGACTTTAAAAAAACAGATTAATGTCTAAATATTTTCTCTGAGTATCATTGTGACTGGAAACCATATTTGATTTGGTGTCTCTGAAAACTCCATTCCAACTACGTGCATGTTGCATGTGGGAGTGTGATATGAAGGATCTCAGAAGGGAGGGGGATAAATCTCCTGTTACAAAATCAGAAGCGACAGTTCACTGAGAATCCATGTCTCCATGATATTTCAAATCTTTCAACATACTTAACATTTTAAAATATAATTAACTTTTTTAGTTTTTTTAAGGAAATTTCACACTGTTTCCCACAGTGGCTGCACCAGTTTGCATTCCCACAGCAGTGCACTAGGGTTCCCCCTTCTCCACATCCTCATCAGCACTCGCTGTCTGTTCATTTATTAATGATGGTCATATGACAGGTGTGAGCTGATATTTCAATGTGGTTTTAATTTGCATCGCTCTGATGGCTAGTGAAGTTGAGCATCTTTTCATACATCTATGGGCCATCTGTATGTCCTCCTTGGAGAAGTGTCTATTCAGACCCTTTGCCCATTTTTCAATTGGATTGTGTCTCCCCAGTGTTGTCATATGAGTTTTTTATATACATTGGAGCTCAAACCCTTGTCTGACGAATCATTGACAAATATATTCTCCCATGCAGTGAGTGCCCTGTTCATTATGATGATGGTTTCTTGAGCCATGCAGAGGCTTTTTAGTTTGATACAGTCCCATTTTTAATTTTTTCCTTTATTTCCCTTGCCCTAGGAGATATATTAGCACAAGTATTGCTCTGTGGAATATCTGAAATTTTCCTGCCTTTGTTTCCCTCTAGCCCTTTCATGATGTGACAGCTTATATTTGTCTTTTATCCATTCTGAGTTTATTCTGGTGTGTGGTGTAAGTTGGGGGTCTAGTTTCATTTTTCTTACATGTCCCAGTCCTGTTCCCCCAGCACCCTTTATTGAAGAGGCTATCTTTACTGCATTGTATGCCCATGCCTCCTTTGTCAAACATTAATTGATGTTAAACACTAAAAATGGAACTACCTTTTGACCCAGCAATTCTGCTGCTGGAATTACACCCTAAGAATCCCTAGGCACCTATTCAAAAGAATTTCTGCACCCTTATGTTCACAGCAGTGCTATTTGCAACAAGTGCGTGCTGGAAATAGCTAAAGTGCCCATCAGTAAATGAATGGATCAAGAAAAACAAAAACAAAAACCGTGGTACATTAGCACATTGGAATACTATGCAGCAGAAAGAAAGAAGGAATTCCTACTCTTTATGACAGCACAGATGGAACAGGAGAATATTATGTGAAGTGACAAAAGCCAGTCTGTGAAAGACAAATGTCATATGATCTAACCTATAAGAGGAATCTAATGAACAAAATAAACTAACAAACAAAAAAACCCACAAGTGTAGAAACATGGAACAGACTGAAAGTGACCAGAGGGGATGAGGGGGGCAGTCACGGAAAGAATGGGAAGGGATTAGACAAAGAACATGTATGAATAAACCACAGACGTGGACAAAGTATAGGAATTGATTGTGGAATCTGGGACGAGGATGGATGGAGGAGGGAAAAAAGGGAAAAATTGAGACAGCTGTAATAGAAAAATTAAAATGATAAATTAGTATAACAAACAAAACCCCAAATAAAGTGGTTTTATTAGAGAGTAATGACAATTATTTTGGAATAATTACCTAATATACAGGTGCACATATATTACATTTTGCATGAAACCAAAATATCTTAATTTTCTCAACATCGTATATTTTATTTTTCCTGTAAATTAAATTCTCCCATTCTATTAGGAGCCCAGAAGACAGAGTTTATAAAATTTAAATGAAACAAACCAATACATAAAGTATCACAAAAGATGAATGCTAATAGAGACCTGTTAGCTAGAATTTCTACCATAAAGGGGTGGGAAAATTCTCAAGATATGTAAAATTCCACAATATATCTGATGATGTATCATAGGATGTGTAA